GCAGCAAGACGGGGGGCGAAAAACAAACACATATATATTCCCACAAAAAAAAATAAAAAAATCGAAGGACAACGTACACCAGTACCAGGTACTACAGCAGTGCAGTATGCACCAGCGCATTAGTGTAGAGTAGGCACCGCACCAAAGAGGTAGCAGAGGTGGCAGGCAGCCAGCAAAGGAAAAAACAAAAATAACAAGGAGCTCGAGGTATCGTCCAAGATCATCGTAGAGAGGGCATGGAGAACAAGAAAGAGTGTGTGTGTGTGTGTTTTTATTATTAGCATCGAACGCGCTAACCGGCTGACCAATTAAATGACGTCAGTGCCAGCGGGTAAAAAAAAAAAAGTGTGTGTGTGTGTGTTTTTATTATTAGCATCGAACGCGCTAACCGGCTGACCAATTAAATGACGTCAGTGCCAGCGGGTAAAAAAAAAAAAGTGTGTGTGTGTGTGTTTTCGTCCTATTCATTATTATGGCGACAATCCCCCCAATTTTCGTGGTGAGACGTGGACTACACTTTTCAGTGTATTTTGTTGTACAACTACAACCATCCAGGGTCACACAGGAGGGGGAAAACACCGGGGCTTTTTTCTTCTTTTCATTTCTTTTCATGCCCCACTTTCCTCCTGCGGTGCGTGCTGAATTCTATTTTTATTGCGAGAAGGGTCCAGCCGTCCCTTTCCCTCGTCAACGGTGCTAACGTCGAAGTTTGGTACTCACGAGAGCTTTTTAGCTATATTTCGCTTTCACCCGCAAATTTCGTAAAGTTTCACCCCATGGAAATTCGAACTCACGACCTCTGCGACTAGCGGATTATTACGAGGATACCACTAGACCACCGGGGCGACCGGTGCATCGTAGCCAAGGTCAGAAGTTAATTTAGCTGAACTGCATATAGCCTCGACTTAGAGGTATGGATGTGTGCTGGCATCATTTTTTGCTTCAACAGGAGGGTTGCGTTGTTTTCGTCTCCTACTGCACCGTAAAGGCTCGACACTAAACACCAGACACGCATCACGGTGACCCAAATTGCCGAACTTCAAAGTCCGAATTCGGTGCAGGAACTAGACTATAGATATATATTTATGCTAGCGCAAGGATGGGGCAGCCCTTTTTTATTTATCTCGGGAGTTGACTTTCGAACCAAAGTGAAGGAACTTTCTCCCGTTGGATTGAAGCCGGGGCACGACCATTGTCAAGTTTGACCACCAGGTGGTCAAACAAGATTCACTCTTCGTGCCACAAGGGATATATACACATCGAATGAATCCCCTGCATAAAAAGTCAACCACCGGCGGGTGAGAGAAGGTACTACTTTTTTCCGCAGGCAAAGTTTCCACGTTACGGGCCAATTGTAGTACGCCTGTGAGCTCTT